TTTTTTTTTTTTTTTTTTTTTTTTTTAAAGAGATGGAGTCTCGCTCTGTTGCCCAGGCTGGACTGCAGTGGCGAGATCTTGGCTCACTGCAACCTCCACCTCCCGGATTCAAGCAATTCTCCTGCTTCAGCCTCACAAGTAGCTGGGATCACAGGCATGTGCCAACGCTCCCAGCTAATTTTTGTATTTTTAGTAGAGACCATGTTGGCCAGGCTGGTCTGGAACTCCTGGCCTCAGGTGATCCGCCCACCTTGGCCTCCCAAAGTGCTGGGATTACAGGCATGAGCCACTGCGCCCGACCCAGACTCTCACTTTCACCTGCGCCGCCCAGCGGCTCCTGCAAATGCAGGATGAAGGAAGAAGGCAGCCCAGGCCTGGAGGCCAGGACCGCATGGAGGCCCTGCGATCCTTCCTGGACCCTGGGAGCGGTGGCTACAGCTGGCAGGACGCACATGCTGATGTGGGGCGCCTGGTGGGCACACTGGGCCGAGTGGCGGAGGTGAGGGGCCGTCCACCTGCGGGGTCTGTTTCAGCGTGGAGGCAGGGCCCATCCTGAGGTTCCCACCCTGGTCTTCCCAGGGGGAGGGAGGCCGGCCCGGCCCTAGTAAGAGCCTGGGATTTGTAGAACTCTCAGGAGGGAGCTGGCCCCACACTGGGCCTAGGAGGGGAAAACATGGTACAGCCCCGAGGTCCAGGGGGAGCAGCGGAGTGGTCTAGGAGGCAGGCAGACCCCAGCGCCTAGGACTCACCCCGCATCCCACAGTGCCTGTCCTTGGACAAGCTGGAGGCGGCACCCTCAGAGGCAGCCCTGGTGTCGCGGGCCCTGCAACTGCTTGCGGAACATCGATTCTGGGCCGGCGTCGTCTTCTTGGGACCTGAGGATTCTTCAGACCCCACTGAACACCCAACCCCAGACCTGGGCCCGGGTCACGTGCGCATCAAAATCCGCATGGACATTGACGTGGTCACCAGGACCAATAAGATCAGGGACAGGTCAGGCGAGGGCGGGGGGGAGG